ATCCATCCATCCATCCATCATCCATTCACCATTCATCCATTTATCCATCCACCAACCAACATCCATCCATCATCCATCCATCCATCCATCCATCATTCATCCATCCTTATAGTTACCAGTTCATTCATCTATTCACCCATCAACCTACCTATACATGAGTCCATCCACCTTCCTACCCATTTATCTTCTTATCCATCTATCTATCCTCTTCCCTCCTTTCTGTCTTTAATTCTTCCCTCTCTTTCTCAGCTTCCTCCTCTTTTCTCACTCATTCCTTTCCCATGACTAAGGTGCTAGCTAGCCTCTCTGAGGAGCCTGGCAGAAGCTAGCCAGAGAAAGGAACAAAATCTGTTTCTGCTTTTCCCTGCATGACCTTTCTTTCCCGAGGAAGTCTCTTATAAACACTTCCAGCACCCGAGCATGCCAAGGCTTTAGAGCGACTCCTTCAAGTCGAAAGGCAATCTCCAGTGCATGACTGGAATGCAGTGATGTGGATCTTTGAGGAGGTTGAAGCAGGGCACTGACCGTGCAACCAGGGTGCAGCCCAGGGCTTCCTCTCCCTCCCAGAGCTGGCAGGCTCAGGGGTTGGTGGGGGCAGGACTCCAAAGGCTGCTTTTGAGTTTCTGACATGACTTTGTAGCTGAAGAGTCCTTCTCTGTCTCAACTTCTGAAGCAGGCTGTCTTACCCTTAGCACTGCTGATACTTTACCACGGTGTAATAATAGCAGTGGTTGTTAGTCCTGATGGTCCACCCCATGCACTTGGCTTCACACACATCAAGAGCAGTGGTTCTCCACCGTGGCTGAGTATCCGAGTGCCCCAGACAGTTTTAGAATCCACAAGGCCCAGACACACCCCATTTCCGTCACATCAGGGCCTCTGGGAGTGGGCCTCAGGTATCTCATTGTTAGAGCTCTCCAAGGGGTTCCAAAGTGCACCCAGGTTTGCCCAAGATATTCCCTGCTTAGTCTGTGCTCCCAGAAAAATAGCAGAATAATACTTCTCAAAGTGCCTTGGTTTGGGTAATAAATTATGAAGTCATCCATCCTACATCCCATTTGGCCTTCTTACCAGTGTTTGCCGAGAGAACTAGTTATTGTCTGCAGATATGTCGGAGACCTGCAGAGATTAAGTCACTGGTCTGAGTTTGCACAACTTGTACGTGCAGTCAGAATTGGAACCCAGATCTCAACTCACCCTGGAGCTGACCTCTGCCTTCTACTGTCCTTTCCCACCCGCAGTGGAGGACTCAGGCATATTAATCAGCTGAGGTTTTATGAGCAGTTTTTCTATGACAAGGGACATTTTTCCTTTGTTGTAAAAGCATTCATGTTTTTTGAGATCTTACAGAGCCTTTAAGATCAGTAGATACATAATTTTCCTTCTTGGAATCTTCTTCCTCTTCCTCCTCCTCCTCCTTTTTTTGTATGTGAAAGCAACATAATTTTTCTTTCAGTCAAGATAAGATCGTTTATACTGTGGGAACAAACAACTCCCAAATCTCAGTAGGCTTAAAAGAAAACTGTGTTTCTCCCTTACAGTATGTGTCCATCTTGATTCAGCAAGTGGCTCTGTGTGTCATAGTCACTCCATGACCTTGGTTAGCAGAGCAGGTACAAGCTCAGGCATCGCTGGTCTCACCTTGGCCTTTCGATGCTGTAGCTTGGGGAGGGGGGAGGACACCTGTCACTTACACTCATAGCTCATTGGCTAGAGACAGTCACATGACCATAGAGACAGGAGCAGACTCCTACTCTGTACCTAGGACCTGGAGAGCTGACAACGTGGGGTCAGCAGCAGAAATGATGACTATCTACTATTAGTTTGTTGCAAAGAATTTGAATAAAGCAGAAAAACATCAAGAAGATTAAACAGGTAATCCCAATTCTCAGAAAGTCACTGTTAAACTGGTAATGTTTTGTTCTGTGACCTTTTAGCGTCTCTTCTTTACACACACATACATTCACATACACACACAAACTACAAACACACATGCACACATAACATGGTGAAATTTTGTTTATGCTGTCCATGTTTCTTTTTCATTGAGCAACTTATTCTTTCCTAATTTCACTTGTCTTGGTATATTTTTCAAACTTTTCAAATACACAATCTTCACCATTGAAACATATTCCATTATACAACTACACCTAGATTTATTTGCTTGGATCTTTATTGTTGGATATTTAAGGGCCTATAATTCTTGCAATGATGACCTTAAACACAAATCTTCATATGTCTCTAATTATTTGCTTAGGTTAAAGTTCTAGGAGTGGAATTGATGACTTGCTTGGAATCTTGCTTGGCATAAATATTTGGGATAGACGTATGAAGTTGCCACTGTAGGATTATACCTATTCATACACCTTAGGGAAATCCAGATACCCACTAGGATAGGGAGAAACTGTGCTTTGCCCTCCTTGGGGTTGTATTTTTTTCTTGCATTTCTTTATTAGTCTTTTTTCTTTTCTTTTTTTTTCAGTACGGGAGGTGGAAACCAAGACCTTCACACTGAGCTACATCCTCACCCCTTCTTAACTTTTTATTTTAGATTTTCTCCTTCTGTGTTCATGAACTGACTGTTGATGCACTTTTCTGAATTTTATATTAGAATGTCTACCCTTTTTAATTGATTTATAGACCATTCTAATTAATTATAATATACATTTATAATTTACACAATTATAATATATGTTATTGTATGATTGGTAAATTATAATTAACCATTATGAATCAAGCCTTGGCTATCATACTTTGCAAATATATTCTCCCAGTCTTCTAAGTTGTCTCCCCCCACCCATTGGTGTTTAGGTTTTGGGCGATTCAGTGGATTTTGATTTCTTTGGGAGTCATGCCCATTAATAATATTCTGTTTTATGATTGGAAAGACCTTTCCAACACACAGATCAGAAACTTTCTTCCCACTTAGATTTTTCATAGGGACTGCTTAATTCACTTGGCCTTGGGGAAGCCCCTTCTCCGCTCGGTGCCTCAGGTTCTCCACCTTAACCTGGGAATAAGAACAGTACTACTTCATAGGGTGGGAGAGGACTGATCCAGTTTATTCCTATACATTAGTGTCTGGCACAAAGTCTGCAAATGTCAGCATCTTTGTTGAGCTCATAATAATATTTCTATTGCAATGTTAGGTATCCTAACAACACTTAACCATCACCTGGCTGTCTAATTTATGGACCAATTTGTCTATTTTTGTATTTTCATCAGAGTTTCTATTATGGTATCTTTGAGTATCTGAATAGTGCGGGCTACATCTCTGCCTTTGAATCCCTTGATGACTTTCACCCTTTTATTTATGTACTTTTATTTTTCCTAAGAATCCCTTCATTGTACCTTCAAAAATTATGATTAACAGATTAAAGGGCATGGGGGAAGCCGATGGTTTGTGGTTCCTTGTTGACAGAGCCCAAAGCTGGAGAGAGCATAGGGATTTGGGGGAGCCTGGCATCCCTTGGAGCAGTTCGGACCCACAATGTGAAGACTCCTAGCAGTTCAAGGGCTGCCCCTGACCCTTTGTGAGGACGGCAGAGACTGGTGACTGAGAATGCATTCAGGGTCGCTGAGCCAGGCCCTAGCAGGGTCAGTGCACTGTTGTAGGATGTCCTTGTCAGTGGAGGGGGTTAAGCCCTCTCACTGCAGGCCACTCTGCCTCTGAATGGATTACCTGGGCCAGTATGACACCATTCTCTGGGCAGAAGCTGCCTTTGAATAGATGGAGGCCGATACAGGACAATTTTGAGAGGAGAGCTGAAGACAGTGGAATTCAGCCTGTGTGAGGACCACTGGTCTCTAGTCCCACAGTCGTCCATGCTTAGGTAAAGTTCTAGTGAAAACCATGGCTTTGGAGGCTGCTATTTCTTGGTCAGACCCTAGTTCTACCACTCACCTGCTGTGTGACATTGGTCAAGCGACAATGTGTCTATAGTAAACATTAAGATACCAATTTTCTCACTGTATTTTTGAGAGGCTTCAGTGAAATAATGTCCATGTCAGACTTACTATTGTGTCATGGTCACCATAATTCATATTGCTGATGTAAATGATTGCGGTTATCATGGTGAGGAGGGTGCTTCTTTCTCAGAGCCCTTTCTTTGTGGGAGGTTGCTGAATTTCTGCATTTATTCTGAAGTTTCTCATACCACTGTGAGCTGGGACTGTTGGCCAATTAAACTGTATCCTAGGATGAAGCCTTTTCCGGGTGGCTGGGCTTCTCTAGAAAATTCTTTGGTCTTCACGGCTATAATGGGCTGAAAAGTGGCCTCCACAAAGACACATCCATATCCTAAACCCCCGACCAGTGAATGTGACTTTATTTGGAAAAATCATCCTTGCAGATATAAATTAACGTGAAGACATGCAGCTGAGTGCCTGGCTGGGCCCCTAAATGACAGTACTTATAAATGTGAAGCAGAAGCAGATGACACAGCAGGGAGGCCTCATGAAGATGGAGACAGAGGTCGGAAGGGTGCAGCCCTCAGCCAAGGAGCCAGGAGCCACGAGAAGCTGGGAGAGGTGAGCAGACTGCTGCCCTGGAGCCCCCAGAGGGGTTGTGGCCCTGCCGACACCTTGATTTGGTCTTGTGGCCTTCAGAACCAAGACAGTAGATCCCAGTGATTGCAAGCCAAGTACATGCATGGTACTCTGTTACGGCAACCCTGGGAAACTCAGTGTCCTTACCAGGGGCCTCATTGCAAATACAGTCTTGGGGAGGCCCTGGGTTCTGGTAGGTGGTTCACTCTTCTAAGTGTAGTGGGGGGTGCAGGGGAGAAATGGTACCCGGAAAACGGGGTGGCTCCGGCCCCTCTAAAGGATGCAGCCTCACTCAACTCCTGTAAACTGCTGCCAGGCAAGAATTTCGGCCTCACTTTGCCAGAGATTCTTATTTTTTCAAAAGAAGAGAAAAATCAAGATTTTTGTGTAAAATCTGATTTTTGAATGTCTGCAATTGATTCGGGTTTCTTACAAGCATGACACGGGCCAAGCAAAGCAATGGCGCAGGCCAAGAGAGAGGGGGAACTCTAATCTAGCAGATCTTCAAGGCCTCTCCGGCCCCCAGTACTGCGATTTTCTGACTTACAGGATACCCGGCCCTCCAGAGCCCCATTCTTGGCAAGGCCAGGCCGGCAGCCAGGGGACAAGAAGGGAGAGTGATGGGGGCCCTTGCTCATCTGGTGGAGCCGGGCCAGACCCGTGGATAGGAGAAAAACTCCAGCCGCTTGGGCCACAAATACTTTGTTTGATTCCTTTTCCTTCCTCATGAGCTGAGGGGTTTCAGGTAGCAGCTTGGTCTTTATATGCAAAGCTTAAGCCCACTAGTCAGCCTGGGCTCTATAATGCCCCATAAATCATAGGCTGTTTTTATTATTAATAATAAAATCCAGCTGATGCTAGACGTGCTAAGGAAATGTGTCACGCGAGAAGGCAAAGCTGAAAAGTAGACTTGTCCTGCACCTGGGAGCAGAGCCCAAGGATAGCGCTTCACGTTCAGTGTGTGCTTGTGGAGCACTTACTGTGAGCTAAGCAGTTGGTGGGTGCTGAGGATATGGCAGTGCATAAGGCCTTCCTGCCATGGCAGGGTGGAGGCGGAGCCTACGGGGAGAGGAGTCTCTAGGACAATAATAGGTCAAAGCTGGAAAGGACAGAGAAAACTGGGTTCCTGGGAGATCCATGGGAGGGGTCTGAAATTACCGCAGTGGAGCTGCCACTTATGTTCTCACAAGAAGGACCTACTAAGAGCCAGTCATGCAAGGAGCTGAGCTAGGAGCATGATCACAAATGCCATAGTCCAGCGCAGGGGAGGGGCTCTTGTATTGAAGAACCAGCGATGTGCTTCACTTGTGAATCTTGGGGGACAAACTGAAATTGGGATGGACTGGGATACTGCAGTGCATGTTGGCTTTTGGGAGTCTGAGTAAAAATTGAAACAGCAGCACTGGAAACTGTTGAGGGTGGAGCACTTCCCCTCACATGGGTGGCAGTGACGCAGGTGCCCCTAAACTCATCTTGAGATTTCACACCAGGCTAGAACACTTCCGGATCTCAGAGTTACAGCTCTGAGATGGCTGTGGTCTGTCTCGGGCCAGCCATGTGTAGCCTGTGTTTGCAGAGTGCATCTGCTTTGTCCAAAGCACTGGACTGGGTGCTGGGATCCAGCAGTGAGGGGCCTGATCCAGGAGGACAGGGCTCAAGGGAGCAGCTAGGTGGAATGGGAAAATACTGGCTAAGGATGAGACGATGAAACTTAATAGTGAGCAGGCATGCAGGGAGGGAGGGAGGGACAGGGAGAGAGGGAGGAAGAGGAGGAGGAGGAGGAGGAGGAAAAATAACAGAAGGGGAGGAAGAGGAGAGGTCTTTTCTTTCCAAGCTCATCAGGAACCACGGACAGAGGTGAGAGGGGATGGCTGGCCTGCCTTCTTCCACTGTGGATGACAGAGGGCAGAGGCAGAAGGACCAGTTGGCCGAGGAGCTGGGGAGGTGTTCATGGTCGGGACCTACTTTGGAGAGAAGCCTGAGGCCTCTTGTTAATGGAGGGAATGCAGATAGCCAGGGGAGCTGCAGGAGTCAAAAGAGAGGACCCCCAAGTGCTCCTGTACTTTGGCTTGCTGCATCCAGTAGATTTTCTCATTGAATCCTCACAGTGGCCCTTTGAGATGAATGTCGCTGTTCCTGTTCTATGGTGGGGGAAACTGAGGTTTTCCTGAGGGACAGAGGAAGCTTGGAGCCAAGTCTCTTTGCCACCCAAAGCAACAGAGGATCCATCTGCCTGGCTTCCTGGCTTCCAGTTCCTGCCTGGAGGTCTGCTTGCCACCAGGGACCCAGCCCCTTGCCCTGTGCTTTGGCTGAGACTGGCTGGCGCAGCCCGGTTGGGTAACCCTGGAAATGGCAGATCCCTTCGGCTCCCCTGGGTGGCCGGAGGGGAGCGGGGCTGCAAGTGCCTCCTTGGAACCCGCTTTGGGAGGTGTCTCACCAACCCCCTGAATGCTACCCGGGATCTCTGTGGCCACTGCTCCGATGGCTTCTAGCCTTCCACTTGTGACAGCTTCAGTGATCTCCTATGACAGGGGGAATATGCAGCCACAGGGATGCAGCTCCGTGCCCGGGAAACGTCACCTCCAATTGATGTCAGGGAGGAGAGAGAAGCAATTAAGGCTCCAGCGCATTCTTGAAGCTCTGGCTCCCGGCAAACAGTGGGGGATGGAGAGGGAGGAGGAGGAAAGTGCTGGGGAGGGGAGGGCAGCAGGCAGAGAAGGGGTTGGGAGCAGGGGCTTTGGGAAAGGAGCACAGGAAGTCCCTGGTGTCTCCAGATAGAGGCTGAGTCCTGCTTCAGGCACTGCCCTGCTGAGCAGGAGCTGCTGGCCCCTTCCTGGTGGAGCCCAAGTCCAGGGACGTGTTGATTCAGGTGTACCAAGGCCTGCCCCTTGGCCTTGACTCGGGCAGCTCCAGTGGAACATCCCAGCTCATGGGATCAGCGGGCACCTTGGCCCCAATTGCATTGTCCCCCCAAGGCCTCCCTTGGCCTGGTCCTCCGTCCTCCTCCTGTGCCCCCAGGCACCTGCTGTTCCTCCCCACAGCTCCTCCAAAGCCTCTGCATCGAGCGTCCCTCGGAGAAGGCCATGAGGCCGACAGCTTACACACAGATCCTCCGGGCGAGGCGCCCATCCTGTCCAACTCTCACCTTCCAAATCCTACTGGGAGGAGGGCCTTGCTAGACGAAGGCCTAGCTCATCTTTGGCGCAGAGAATCTGGGTAGGAAGTGAAATGGGGAAGAAAATTAAAGAAGCCACAGAAGCTTTGAAAACTGTATTTAAGAAACATCCAGAGTTTAGACGAGAGAAAGAAAGAAAATATGTGAAGGTGGAGTTTCAGGAATTGGTATTTTAAAAGAGGAGAAAGGGTTTTTCCTGCATATCTAACATCTGAGTGGAGTTCCTGAGGGAAGTAGGATCGAGGAAGGGATGATAAAGATGTTTACTACATGTTTATGATGCTCTGCTTCCTTGGGGTTTGCCTGATGGAGTGAGCAGAGATCCGGAAAACTTTTCTCCTTTTCCTTTCCTTTCCTTTCCTTTCCTTTCCTTTCCTTTCCTTTCCTTTCCTTTCCTTTCCTTTCCTTTCCTTTCCTATACTTTCTTTTTTCTTTTCTTTCTTTCTTTCTTTCTTTCTTTCTTTCTTTCTTTCTTTCTTTCTTTCTTTCTTTCTGTCTTTCTCTCTTTCTCTCTCTCTCTTTCTCTCTTTCTTTATTTTTCTTTCTCCTCCCTCCCTTCCTTACTTCATGTTTATTTATTTTTGTGCTGGGGATTGAACCCAGGGCCTTCCTGCTGAGGTACATCACCAGCCCTTTTTTATTTTGAGACAGGGTCTCACTAAGTTGCTAAGGCTGCATTGAAACTTGCCATATTCATGATTCAGCCTCCCAGAGTGCTGGGATTACAGGCATGCATTACCATACCTGGCTTAGGTTTTGACTTTAGAGATAGGGCTACATGGAATTATGGGTTTATTTGGGGTACAAGTATGACTGAATGAAAAGGGTGAAAAGGTGACAGTGAAAGAAAAGAGGAGAACCACAAATCAGTGGGAAGGATGAAGAGTCAACTAGAAGCAAAGAACAAGAGGATGGAATTAAAGTGAGAAACATGTTCCTCACTGCATTGGAAAAGTTGGCCAAATCTCTCTCTCTCTCTCACACACACACACACACACACACACACACACACTCACACACAATGTCCACCTGTCATTGACCCCTCCCTGCCTGCAACACCCAGTGAATGAGCAAATAAATGCTTGTCTTTGGGCAATGTTGGCACGGATTGGCTAAATTCAAGAATAGTAATTAGGATAAAGTCTAGCAACTATAACAAAGGGCAAAATGGTAGTGACTTAGGTGAAAGTTTTTCTTTATAAGAGACCACTCATAGTTCATTTGTATGTGTCCCATAGTGATGGAGTCCTAGTCCACAGCTCCTCCTACCTCATTTCTCAGCATTGGCCTCCATCTTGGGCTCTAAGATGGTGGCTCCACTTCCTGCCATTAAATCTGCATTCTCTGCAAGAAGAGAATGGGGACCTAGAAGTCAGGCTTCTTCTTTAGGGAAATGACTGGTCACTTCTTTTGACTTCTCACTAGTCACATGGTCATGGAATAGTCAAAGGAAGGTTTAAAAAAATACAGTTTTCATCCAGATGGCTCTGTGCCCAGCTAAAACATATGGACTTCGCAATCAATATATGGACAAATGAACTCTACAGACATTTCTTAAAAGAAGAAGAGCAAATGGATGATAAGTATATAAACTGTCTAACATCTTTAGTCATTATGGACAAGCAAATTAAAACTACATTGAGAGTCCATCTCATCCGAGACAAAATAGCCATTATCAAGAATTTAAAAAATAGCTGGGCATAGTGGCACATGCCTGTAAT